CAAAGCCGATGCACCACGCCGCGGTCGACACGAGGAGCAGATAGGCGATGAGGACGACAAAGGCGGGGTCGTCGCGCGCCCACTGGTGCTTGGTACCGCGGTGGTACGTCGCCGACCTGTACACGCGCCGCGGGTCCGAGCAGAGGCACAGCATCTGCCAGAGAGCCTGGTCAAAGTCCATGTGCCGCAGCCGCGTCATCCGCCGCAGGTAGAGCGCCGCCACGCGTGCCGCGCTGCCGTCGTGCCCCTTGAAGCGCTCGTCGTCCTCGAGCGGGCCGGGCAGCATCAGCGTGGGAGTGGCTCGTGGCCAGGCGGTGGTGGGCCTTGCTGATCGCGCAGCGAGGCTCCAGGCTAGCTAAACCGGGCCGCGCCAGCGCCGCTCAAGAAAAAAGAAAAGGCTACCCAATACGGGTAACTAGAGGAAAAAAGAAACTCGCGAGTTTTCTTTTTTGACTTCCGCCGCTTTTCTCTGTGTCGGGGTGTGAGATACGAGCCCCCCCCCCCCCCCCTTCTGAAACATGCGTGTAGAGCGCATGAGCGCATACAGAACAACTTAAAGGCCCACTCCACGCCCCCTTTCGCCTTTGAGCAAGTGTCGACACTTGGCCGCCGCTGCCTCCTGAGCACCCCCACGCCGGTTGTGGCTGCTCTCCGCCCACCAGCCGGCCACAGGCCGCCACCCTCGCCGGCCGGCGTCGAGAGAACGGCCAGACTCGACCGACCGGGTGTCGCGCCGCTGCCTGCTTCTCGCGCCGCTGTAGCAGCGCCAGCGGCTCGGCCGCGCATCCTTCACACACGCTGCCACAACCAAGCTGAGCGAGCCCAGTGTCGAGGTCTGGTGCGAGCTGCATGCGAGGGGCGGCTTTGGCCACAGCAGGTCCACCAGACGGACCTCAAAGCTTGCCGTCGGCGTGCTGTCGTGGCGAGAGCGCGAGACCGCTGCAGAGGAGCCGAGTGCAGTGGCGAGCCAGAGGCTACCAGGGTCACCAAGTGGTAGCCCTTGCCCATTCTGATCAGGGCTGTGCTTTGGTGGGGTTGTGTTTGAGCATGTGTGAAGTGGGAGTGCGTGCCGGCGGCGTGTCTGTGGGTGAAACGGGCGTGAGTGAGGCCGTAAGAGCCGTGGTATGAGCCAGAGTGGGCTTCATCACCCAAAATAAGGACGGTTTGGGACAGCTCAGACTTGGTACTGATGAGCCTGGGCCAGGAGGGCGACAGAGAAGGCGAGGTGGTGAGCTGGGAAGCCGCTTCATCGGCACCTGGACGTGTCGCGATGAACTGCCGAAAAGTACTATTTGCGGCTATTGCTCAAAACTTCGGGAGACAAGGCCTACATATTATGACTGAATCCTTGCGCCTGGTGCATGAGGGCTGCGGGTCGGGACATTTCACGGTCGGTGGCGCCGGTGTTGGCCTCCGGAAAGCCCTCGCAATCGCCTCGGATGGGGTCCACCGGAGACAATCTCGAGCCCTCTCCGTGGCATCACGAGCCGGTGTGAGCTTGCAGACCCAAGGTAAGTGCGGTCTGGGACGGCTTAGGCTTGATACTGATGGGCCTGGGCCAGGAGGGCGACAGAGAAGGCGAGATGGTGAGCTGAGACGCTGGAGAGGCCACATGTGACCATGTCACGCATGCTCGTGCCGGCGCCTAATATTAGCTTGCGCCAAGGAGCCTCTCCTGCTTCGTTGCAGCCTGACAAGGGCGCGTCCGTTCACCCGCCTGCAGCACGAGACAAAGACTCCGTGTCGCGG